CTATTCTCACTCGGCATGACCTGTCTGATAGGAACGCCTTGATGCAGCGAAGAATTTTCCCCTGAATCCCGTAAGACTCGAGTTTGTGGAGCAGCGGGACGTTTGGGACCCCATCAAATGCTTTTGAGAAGTCGAAGAATATGGCATCCGATATGAGTCCTTCGTCCTTGGCTTGGGTTAAGCTGTCCGTAAACACGAGCATGTTTGTCACGCAAGAGCGGTGTGGGAGAAATCGGTGTTGAGCTGGAGATATCAGGTTGCTGGAAGTAAGGTGATCTAGAATAGCTCGCTTCAGAATGCGTTCCATCACCTTGCACGGCACGCTAGTGAGGCTTATAGGCCAATAAATGCCAGGCGACTGTCGCTCACCTTACTACCAACAACTTAAGATCTCCCGCTCAACACGGATTTTTCGCGGACCGCCCTTGCGTGACAAACATTGTCGTATTTATGCATAGCTTCGCCTAGTCCAAGGATGGGAGACTAATATCGGATGCTCGTTTCCGACTTCTCAGAAGCGTCTGATTGGTTTACACATGTCTCGTTGCTCCACAAACTCGAGTCTTACGGCATTCAAGGGAAACTCATACACTGATTCAGGGCGTTACAGTCAGAGAGATTATTCTGAGTTCAGGTAGTTTCTACCTACTTTTCTACAACGTCGGTCTACACTGGAGTTTTTCAGGGCCCCGTTTTGGGATCAGTACACTTTCTGGTCTATGCCAACGGCCTTCCAGATGTTCTTGCAATTCCATGTCTACGTGGACGACTTGAAATCGTGGGGTTCCAATGCCATTGCCCTCCAAATAGATGTATACGCTGCCAAGCAGTGGTCGTTGGACTGGCGCCTTCCGCTGAATGACGAAAAGTGCGTCCATATGTCGTTTGGAGGAGCTTCAGCGAATGCCTTTTGTGGTAGCTGCTTCGGTGTGTCAGAGATTTTGCGCGTGTGCGTGTCCGTTCGTCGTTCCATCATCGATCTGGCATGTGACTTGAGTGGCTGACTGGATGTGTGTCCGATCGTTTGGCCCGCGTTAGCGCTGTGGGCTGACCAGATATGTGACTCACTTGTTTTAGCTTGCCTGCCACGAAAGCGGACCAGCTTGGCCGCGTGTACCCAATACACCCGTGTCCGTACTTACGCGTTCTTCTGACTTACTGTGAACTACGATACCTTTGTTATGCATGGTGAGAAAGGACCAGAAAACATCACGATGATAGATGCAAAAAGGATTTGGGGATCTGGGTCGCCCGAAACATATCCTTCTCACTGCATCATGAGAAATCGGCCCAAAAGTCATTCGCTATTTTACGGATGATCCGACGCACCTTCTCCCGTATTACTCGCACGGACTTCCAAATACTCTATGGGGCCTACGTCAGACCGCTCGTCGAATGCGCCGAACAGGTTGTCTACTCAGGACGCACGAAGGACGTCAACCTCATTGAGCGTGTCCGGCTAGCCTCCATGAGCATTGTTGCCGGCCTCAAATCCGTGGACTACGAAACTTGTCTCGCGATGCTTGATCTGTTTCCCGTGGAGTGACGTCACCTTCGAGGGGACCTAATTCTTACCTATGCCTTGTTTAAAGAAAGCTTGGCAAACGGGCTTTTCACCGTTGACCCAGCAAACACACGGCAGGGACTCAGTGATAAAATTTTGAACCTCAGATCATGCACAGTCATTAGACAAATTTTTTCATTTACAGTAGTAGTTGCGCGGAATATCCTCGCCCTGACCTTTTTCCACGCTGCTGCTAGGACCCCAGTTCAAATCATGATTATACATTTATTTACGCGAGCCCACGCGCTGGCAAGCATACTGGCCCACGCTGAGAACATAAAGAGCGGTGAAAACCCTTTTTCACTTGTGTCTTTCAGGTGAACGACAGCCGCTGAACGACACGATAAATCGGGCCCGGCAAACTTGGACAAAAGCCACGATCCTATGTATCAATCCGTGAATCCGTGTCAGTACTGTTTGTTGTGGGCCAACGTTCTCTTTTCATTTTAACGAACATGCTGATCTTAGTCTTTGATAACACTGTCTATGGGCGTTCAGGCTTACTGCGTCGCGTACGGCACTGTGACCTTGAAACTCGGCCTTGTGTGCTGCGATTAGCCCTGACCAGAATGACCGAGTTTAATGCGCTGATCCGCTTGGTGCTCTATTTCTGTTGTGTTTTGTGTACTGGAGTTGCTTTGTTCGAGGACCAAATCGGTTTATTTGACTGGTAAACAATATTTCACTGCTGATTACAGTGCTTTTGAGGAACCAAAAGTACATCGGTAAAGTTCAGTTTGTTGCTGAATGGCGCGATCACCCAAAGAGTACTGTGTTCCTTGGGTCCGCGAAGAACGCCATTGCTTCCATCTTTCTCAGAAATGGATCTTCAGGTGAGATCGCTTATTGTAGACATCTGACTTGCAGTTTGGCGACAAGTTCAGGGTGACCACATGCAACTGACGAATCTAGTCCTCTGTGGAAGAAGTGGGTGACATTTATCTCATCAATGATTTTCAAGATATCATATCTGCCTCTTCGAATGGGAGTTCTGTAATACGCGCTTGGGATTCCAATTCGGGTTCCATATTTTGGGAGTACGCGGTTGATTTGTCGTTACGAAGGTATCAACATATTTAACTAATCGTGATTACTGTTCTTCTTACAAGGTCAAGTATTTGGTGCGATCCAGACATAGGTAGGTTGAGTGCATTATGAAGTGTGTCAGTGCAACCACTAGACTTTCTTGTGTACACGAACGGAAATACACTGGAGAGCCTCAGGATTCAGAATGGGAGAGTGCTGGCATCTATAAGTCTAACGTAAGTTAGTCAGTTCGTTTTTTCCACCCACCAGAGTAGGCGATTTTCAAGGACGTCCAATTATCGGTGTTCTGTTTCTTAATAATTGAATGACAAGTAACAATATGCATAGGCTAAACTCCGCACATGCATACAGAATTTCGTCTTGTCCCAAAATGACCCACTATTGTCATCACTGAATTAGTGACTACCTATGTTGCCTATCGCTAGATATCAGAAATTCGCGAGTTTACTGACCGGTATGTCTAATGTTGGTTTTCGAACAGATACTAGAGGGTGATTGTTGATATGGAAATCATACCACGTTCTTGACCTAAAACTAACCTTGTGGTAGTTGGACTTCAGTTTTTCAATGTTCCTGCAAGGTACCCTGAGTGGAACTCACTTTCACGTTTGGCCATCCAAGGAAGATCAAAAGGGAGCAGCCCGACAAAGAGTGATGAATCTTCGTTCGGCGAGAAGTCGTGTTATGTTTCGACCTGCAGTCGTGTGTGATAGGATTATGGAAGCAATTAGACGTTCACGTACGGGTGACGTGCATGCCCATAGTCATAGAGATGGCGATACTGCTTCATCCGAGTAAGGATGGATGCATCATCGTCATCGCAGCATGACATCGGTGTTCAACACCAATGCTTCACTGGTTTGAGGAAAAGATAGAGGTGGACGGGAAAGGGACTTATTGCAAGCCTACTGCAATTATTTCGAGGTGCTCACAACCCCAGACACTCATTCAGGCAATCTTGGTAGCCACTGACATCGGCTGGCAGTGTCCCCAACCAGTCGCAATGGGGATTCCCATCCTGGAAGGCGAGTAGCACCGACAGCACTCAAACATTTCGTAATCTCCTCTGCCAGTTCAAGTGTTGGTCACATTTCCGCTTCCGCAACTCTGATTTGGGTATGACAGACAACATTCTTTTCGGCAAACGATGATCCGACATACGCAACACGTCCCAACCAACAGCTCCTAGTGCTGAACACATTCTTCAATAGAAGTTCCCACAGCACGACCGAAAACTCGCTTTCTAATTGCCTCGTGGATTCGCTGACAACAACCCACACTAGGCAACGATTGGGACAACGATTGTCGAACAATGAAGACATCTGGATTCCGCTGCTCGAACAGCCAGACAACAAAACAGTGCGCACCGTTGCTCGATACACGTCTCTTGAGGTTCAGGGATACACCACTTTGACACTATAGATGTCTCTAATTCGCAAACGCGACTCCGCCTTGCAGATACACGTCTCTTGAGGTTCAGGGATACACCACTTTGACACTATAGATGTCTCTAATTCGCAAACGCGACTCCGGCCTTGCAGATTCGTGCACTGGCCTCATCGGTCAGCCTGTCATCGTCATCACGAACATGTGAATTTCGGGGTTGGGTTGGAGTTTTTTGTCTGACATCTCTACCACCGTCGTTTAGGTACGCCTTGGCTGTCACTATCGAAGCCTCCGTTTTTTCTTACGGTTTGTATAGTCACACGGAAATTAAAAGACTACGGTCGGGTATTGTTCTGTTACGCAAAAATAAACTACTTCCACCCTCAAGAAGTTCCGATTTATGCGACTGGTCCGGTAAGTGGTGCTTTTTATCAATATTTATCACTCCCTTTGTGATAAGATAATGAGTGGTGCATTGAGTATTAGTTCCTGTTCTTCTCACTGATTCACTATGTGCAGATCAACTGTTTGGAATTATGTGCATGGAGAACATGGGAGTGTTGTTCTGCTCTAGGTTATGTTGATGCATGCCGTCCTCTGTCCAAACGTGTCCAAACCTCAAGCCACGCATCAAATCAATTGTTAACTTCCACCTTGTTTCATAAACAGAATTGGCCAGCCTGCACCCAGTACCTTATTGCAAACAACTGAAGCCAGTTCATCCTGGTTCTATAGGTGTCAAAGTGAACCAAAACAGTTTGCTGACTTGGGACCGCCTAGCAGTTTGGATATAGTTTCACACTTCGTTTCGAATGAAAAACGTCTATGTCGTGAAATCTACAATTTCCTTTCCTTACTCATCGCAACTGCTTATTTTATCTTTCCTTAGTCTCAGTCGCTGCCCTCGGGCATCCTGCGGGTTGTAACAACTGGGCACCAAAAATATTACGGCTGGACGACTTTTATTGTTTTTCATTCAGCCACTGCACTTCAATTCCTTGTTCCTGAAATCTGACACTATCGTGTTCGCATGTGGTCGATTTACTCCCTGTTTACAGAAATGAATTACAATCACCCCTGAGTCAGTACCTCGTGGGCCTTTTTCTCATTTCAGTGAAACAGCTTTCCCCCAAGACGCTCGTATTTTGAGCACTCCGTTAGCGCACAATGACACACATTTGCATGTGGTGGTCTTGACATTCTCACAACCAAAACATTCAGGCGGTACGTTAGCGGGGACTGTGTCGGTCGTATCGATACAAAAACACCAGCCTCAGCAATCCACTGTCTTACATTTCCAAAAGTTCAGTGCTCCGTGGGTGACACCGGACTGGGATAGGTAAGTTGCATGATTCTTTCTACTTGACATCTAGGTGAGCCTTGTCACACAACCGCTTAATCCTACTTAGACCTGTTTTTCTGTCAAGTCGCTAGTTTCTTCCGGTGCCACTCCCACACCTTTTGGATACCAGCTGAATTCTACCCCAAGCTCATTTCTGAGCATAAATACAGGGTCAAAAGACCGTTAAGTTGCCTTTTAGGCTCATAGTTGTCGCAAAACTAATGAGTAGCATGCAAGCAGGGGCGCTTAAGCTCACCGCCAAGGTGGTTTAGGCAATTCACCTCTTCAATCGGAAGTTTTCGCCCAACCTCTACTCTAGCTTGAGATCGTTTATATGTTGTTAGCTGATGTAGCTTGGAGCAATTACTTATGTGAGCCAGTTATCGTTTCACAATCCTCTCTAAAGCATAACATCGGGCAGTTTTCAGTGTCCCTTTGTGGGGCTGCTAATTAACAATGAAATCAGACAGTTCAAGTAGTGCAGGATGAAACGATGATTATCAGAGTCAAGGCAACGGTGTTGCGATGTATACAGCTATCGTATTTTGATGTTTCATGGGTTCACAGGGATGCCTGAAAAATAGAGTTTACTTGCACAACTAGGTGGATTTATTGGCCAAATCGCGACCGATACGGCCTCTTACTACATACATTATTGGGCCCATCTTGCTTCATTAATTGGTGTCGGAGAATTGAGTTCGAACACTTCGAGTATCTTTGCACGGCACTCCTCGGTTAAGCGGTGTAGATTAGCTTTGTCGATAAACTCGTGGGACAGCTCCTGGACAATTCGGATGCTTCTGAGGAACTCCTAGCGATGGCTTTCCGACCGTACAATCTAAACGATTTGCGGAAAGCGAGCAAGTAATCAGCGAACGACTGGTTGACTGGGCTTAACAGAGACGTATGTGGCTGGGACTAGCATCTTATCGAACATGTGGGAATTGGAGTACAAAACAGTTTTTGTGACTATATTTTCCCCTTGTTTCAGTGTTCAGCTGCATGCGTCTATTGGTTGCTGGATTGTATGCGTAAGGCCAAGCGTGAAATTCATAGATAAGGAAAAACACAGAGTATCATGTACCGCGCACAAGAGTAGGGTCAGTTTATGGGGAGCCCAAAATGGTGAGGAAACAACTCACTGGCTGTGAACGTAGAAAGCCCCCGTCCGACAACAGCCTTGGCAGGTTACAGAAAGCAGAGTCGTCAATGTAAAATAATCATCGGTTCGTGAACCAAGGAAATGAACATCACAGTCGATAGCATGTAGGGCTGAGACGAAAGTCTGGAAAAATTCGTCTGTCCCGTATTTCTGCTTTCTATTTCACAACCATTCTGTGCCCATCCGAGATTACGCCTACGTCTATCACGGCGTTTCCAAACAGCTGTTAGGTCAGCCTTGATGAAAGGCCTCGAAGACGCTGTATTCCAGACGACGGACACACTTTCCGAGTTCAATTTCAACCGATTTAGACGAGTACGTCGAGCATGTTGCACGATATAGCAGGACTGCAGAGTATGCATTAAACTCCGACTGATCACAGTTTCTATGACAAGGCTAGCCAGACGTTTCCAAGTGTAGTCCTCAATAAGTTGCACCGGAGCTGGATGCCGGGGATGGATACCTGACGAGACACGCGTTCTGGAAATCCGGACCGTCGATTCAAAAGATGTGGAGCGACCAACTCTCGCAAGTCACGACCATCAACGCTGTTTTGCAACCCATCGCCAAAGCAGCCAATATTTCTTCCATGTGTTTCTCTCACTGCGATTCGCATTCCGTGGTGGACTCCTTTTTGCTTGAGGTCGTTCAAGATATGGTGGCAAACTGTAATCACTACCCATTTTACTCTTGTTCTCTATCCAAATTGTCTGACCAGGTGTTGGAGGTTTCCTTACACATCAGGACTTTTTTGAAACAAATTGGCGCCGTTGTATGTCAGTGAAGCACTGGTGTTTCTGTTTTTGTCAGCGATGATTACGACGCTCAATCGGAGAGGTCGATTAGCTTTTTCCTGAAATATTGTCCACTTTCGTTGCTGGTGGAAAATTCAACAAGTGAAGTTTAAAATAAGTTTTAGGAAGCAGATCATCAGGCTTTAGCGCCCTTTCATTGGATAGTTACCTTGCGACTCCAAAGAAGCAGAGGGCTAAGATATTCTTAAGTTGCCTAATCGCAGAAAGGAACAGTCTGAAAGCGAGGGTTGAAGTTGTGCCACAAAACTTTGGGTCAGTAGTTTCGCGCCCTGACACCAAGTTACTTCAAACTCTACTGAAGTTTACTTTATACTGGGCTGGCATAACAAAGCAGTGTTACGATGTGATGATCACATCCTCTCCACGGGGCAGATGCGTACAGGTGTGCTGGCACTATATCTCTTAGCTATCTTCTCTGGTCATTCTTTCCAGCAAAACTTTGATCAACAAAATTGTGGTTGTACGGCATTGATGAACCAGTGCTCGCCGCTGATGTTATGCTGTCGATGATGACTGTAATACTACTACTACTATTAGTAATAATAATAGCACGGTAATGAATGAGATTCGGGAGTGGCTCTAGAGGTTATTTTATGCGGAAAGGTACCATTTCGAACACTTTTCCGTGAATGCAAATGTTGAATTCTACCCGATGCCTGTCTCTTCTTGTGGTATCTCATTTGCATTTATTATCCAGTTGTCTGAGTGTTTTTAAGTTGGGCACTTGATTACCCATGGCTGACTGACAGTAAGCCCTCGTTCTTTATTTACACTAAGGCTTCGTTCAAAGTAATGTCGATATGTGATGCTGACTTCGACGATGTTGATGGTAACAACATGGATTAATGAATAAGATTTTGATCATAGGGTTATTCAGTTTGGTAAATGATCACACAATCAAGCCAAGCATAAGGTCGGCGCATGGCCAGTAGTATTGCTCATCAATTTTGACTGTTCTGTTCTCATCTTCACCCTAACAGCTCCAACTGTCTGCTCTTGGCGAACGCAGATCTCTTCCTCGTTTGTCTATCGTCACATGTGTCTAATGCGTCTGGGGTGCTTCACCTTCTCAACTTGGATCCCTCAGCTGGTGTCAGTGATTGGACTAACGTAGAGCTCCATCAGGTGGGCTTGCCGTTACATCGATGGGCTTTTGTCCTCGCCTTTTATCCTCATTTCTTTTTCGCCTGTTCACCGTCATTCTCTCTGGTTTTGATTTTATTTCATTATGTACTTTACAGAGGCTCTCAAATCTAGAACATGTTGGCATCGCTGACCTCCTGACTCGTTAATTTCGGGGTTCTTACTGACTTGAAACAGAGTCAGTGTTAGTCATGTTTGGTCGATTACTCCTCCAATGTCTTACAGAACCCTTGAAAAAAAATATCTAAAAAATTGGGAATGAATTTTAGGCGACTAATTGGATGATTTGATGAACAGTCAGCTGGATGAGCCTGATAAGGAATCGATTTTTAATCCCCTTAACATTATGTATTCGGTTTTTCGTCGTTTAGTTAATCTTCATTTAGTTCCAGACGTGTTTCGCTTTGGCAGGCCCGCTCATCAGTCAGTGCCCTGCTTTATTAACATACAAGGGAAGGACAACGGCAAACGATTGGTTTGGCTCTGTTAGCTAACTATATATCTTTCTCGAGTGCGACCTCCGACCAAAGCGCACGCTCCCCGTGTGCCTATCCCCCTTGACAATACATGGGTACAAACTAACCGCGTGGCAAACAACAGCCGAGGGTGCTGATCTTACCGAAGTACATACGTTAACGTACGTTATCCTCGATGATGACGCTCCGGTTGACACCGCAAGGTCCACTAGTCGTATACACTCATCAACCCACACAGAAAGCGACCCTTACTGACCGGGCCCACATTTCCAATACAGTTTCCCCATATGGTCCCATAATTTTACGGTACAGCCGTCCTAGGAGAGGAATTGATTCGCTTGAAATTTTCGAAGTCCTTCACTGCCCTCTGACTGGCAACAACTCCAACCAACTTCTTCAGATGCTGAGGAAGTTTTAAAGGAGCAACTTGTTGCATCCATCGTGCATTCTGGACGGAAGTGGTATACGCATCATCATCATCTGCTGTACAAACCGCGTACTTACTGTACAGTGGTTATAGCCGCCAAGGTTTCGTGTACCGATGATTTGCGGAGCAGGCTAGATAGCTACGCGTTGCGGATGCTAGCTGCTACAATTGTCAACGCAAGTTTAATTAAGGAGGCAACAGCTTAGATGCATGGGCTTCATTGAGGGCGTGGCTGGGTCATGTCTAACAATGTCTCTAACCATTCATGTGTCCCATTTCGAGATCTCAGCCCAGGGAGACGGCTATGACCACTGCAGCCGGGGTTGCTGGTGATGGCTTTCATACTTTGTTGCCCAATGTGTAATTTGAACTGGCTCGTTTCCTCCCTTCATGTTTTTGCTGGAAAAAAGACCCTTCGAGGAAGTCAGCCAACTGGTATATGGAGCACGTGACCAAGCCAGCGTAACCTGTGGAGTGTGGTCAGTTTATGTATTACGGCTGAGCTACTTATTCCACATCAGTAAGTTGTACAGTGCTGCACCAGCTGATTTCGACTCCGATACACATAAACTTCTGCTCGTGAGGCTTTCGACTGACAAGGTGGTCAATTCCAACCAGGTCAGACGTTTCGTGGAGCGTCCTGCCGTCCGAATATTCCATTCAGGCGACACTTTAGAGACGTTCGAACAATCAGCCGAACTGTTTACCCTCATATATCCAGGGCAGGCCGGTAACTCTAATGTCACATGTCTTTGGGTCTCGGCAGTTTACATGCAGCCTGGTTCACAGATAGATGCGTCATACTTCTTAGCCAGTTGAACTTCGGTTCAACACATCTGGGACGACGGACTGATCGCGGCCAAGTGGCGTTCTGCTGCCTCTAAGAACACACCATCTAAATGCCACAGCCACAGGGAGACGGATCTGATGTTAGTCGTCCCCACTTCGGTGCCGGATTTAACTCTTCGCCGAGTGATTCCAGTTCACGGGTTTCAGATATGTAAGGAAAACTGAACGTTACCGTCCTCATTCGCGGCTTTGATTCGACTGCTTTTGTCTCGGTTTGTTAGGTTTGTTATTTAATCCCGCTACACTTTTGTGTTACTTAATGTCACATAAATACATGTGGATGGTGGAGCAGCACTAAAACATGTGTATGACAAGCGTCTGTCCTTTTCATTAGGCTTTCTTCTTCAACGATCGGTTGGTTCCACGGATTATCGAGTTTGGTACCAATATCCGAGTTCGATTGAGTGTTGTTGGCAGTCTGTCACTCATTTACTGCACGGGCTGACGGAGCAAAGCTTTGGTAAGGATACGGTCAGATGCATAGAACAGACGCTAACGGATATCGTTGGTTGCGGGCAACTTTGAAGTAACACCGCTAGACGTGGGATTCATGAATACCGGTTTGCGGATTCTGCCGACAAGGTGCATTCTGACACGGTTTCGTACTGTTGCTCAGCGGATAGGGATTTTCGTAGCACGGCGACGCATACAACACAGCCAAATGTTCAGGCGAGCTGAAGGACAGCCAATTGTATTACGTTACCCAATCAACGGAATTTGCCCACGTATGATTTGTTAAGATAGCCCCGTCTGTCAGAGAAGTTGTCCGCAGACTTCCTTCAGGTTCAGCTGCTTCCCCATTGTCGTCACCATCTCTGCTCGGCTTCTGCTCCTTCCGGCTGGTGACCGTCACAGCTTTCGATACATAATGCGAGTTATGGGCTATCCAGATTTTTCATCGAATTTATTAGTAGCGTCATGTAAAGTACGTGATTTAGTTGTAGCTGCTCCATGAAGAACAATTCGCCTCTGCTTGCCATTTAAATTGTTGATATTCTGGTACCTGTAAAACGTCGGAAAAGTATATCACTCAAACAAACAAACGTCCGCCCACTTGCATTTCCAAGAAACTATGCATCCCAGTCTGATCCAAAGCTGTCACCTTGTCGTGGTGGTCGGACTTCTCTATTAAAATGTTCCTGCGGGCCATACTGACTGGAACTCAATTCCTAAAGTTTCAACCTTATCAGAAAGACCAACGGGGAACAGCCTGAAGAACAGTGAGTAATCGTATTACTAGGCGGTCTGGAGGTAAAGTCGCACTGTCCTCTGCGATAGGCGTGTGAAGGCAGTAAGGCGTTTCCTTTGAGGCGACCAGCACATTTATGGAAGCGTCGATGCTACCATAACGGGTAACCGTTATCGCTGTCGATGCGAAGAGCCATCAGACGCCAAGTGAAAGTGAGTTTGCGATCCGACCGTGAAGTATGGTGGACACAGAAAGTCAAAGAAATGGAAGAGGCCCAGAAAGCCGGTAATGCCCGGAGATTATTTCAGTTAATCCGTGCGACCGGTCCCCGGAAACCACCTGTGAGTGAAAGCATCAAGCATCAGAATGGAACGACCATCTC